GGGTGACAAAACGTTGATTGCTGAGGTGCCTTAAGGAGACCACCCTGGAAAATGTTTATTTTGGTTTTGTTTCACTGATATTTTGTTTATTTCATGGTTTCCAGTATGAATTTAATGGATAGGCCGCTTCCCTCTGACAGTGAGTTTCAAGGAGACCACCCTGGAAAATGTTTGTTTTGGTTTTGTTTCACTGATATTTTGTTTCTTTCATGGTTTCCAGTATGAATTTAATGGATAGGCCGCTTCCCTCTGACAGTGAGTTTGCTCCTCTTACCCCATTACTGCTAATGAGACAGAAATCTGTTTTAAAAACCCACAACAAACCCACCTTGAGTCCACATCCAAGAATGCTGTATTCAGCATCAAAAGTCACCTTGACAGGGCCGTAGTAGTGTCAAGATATCTTCCTGGTTTTCTGGAACCTAACAGCAAGAGCATGTGATGAAATCACTCCCACTACAGGCCCTCATGCCCTGAGAGTTTTTTGGGGAGGGTATCTCACTTCTGTGTGGATCTTTTGGGCTGTTGCAGCTCAAATGTAGGAGATAACGTCTGGCTGAGGTGTGGAATGGAGAGGATGAAGCAAAAACGTTAGTTCCAAAAGAACTTTAAATAGTGGGGGGCTCTTTATAGAAGTTTAAATGTCTCTACAGAACAGCTTGTGGTTGTGTTGTGGCTTTTTTGGTTTCAGTGACCAAACGGAAAAGTTAAATTTTGTTAGGGGAAGTGATGTGACGTTTGGAGTTGCCCACAGTACGACGTGGTTATTTTGCAGGATTCATGATCCTGCTGGCAAGGTGTAACCAAAATGCAGGCCTCTCCAGAGGCATCCTTAGTCTTTGACACTCTCTTCAGTAGGCGAGTCCTGTGATGTCTCTAGAGTAGCGAGGATGTCTTGTTTCTCTTGACACTCTTCTAACACTGTCGGAGCTTTTAGGATCCAGGTTTCTTTGCATCTTCTGTCGAAAGGGAAATTGTTGTAATGTTCTACTTGGAAAGGTCCCAGTGGAATAAATTTGAAGCTGATCGTTGCCTCCCCTGCTTTTACAAAGTCTGGTGTGTGTGTGTGTAGTACGTCAGCTTCTGAACTGATTTTGGTTGGGTAGGTGGGATTTCTTAAACATACTCTTTAAAACTGGTAAATTTAACTGTCATTGCTGCTGTTACAGTTACGTGAGCTCACTTATACGCCTGTACCTTATTTTTCTTGTGGGAATGGTCTGTACTGATAGAAGCATCTGCCCACAACAGTAATTGTGAGTGGAGGCAAGAGGAGATGGTTTGTGTATGGTGGTGTCAGTCCCAAATGTCAGAAGAACGCCTCCCATCCCCAGAAGTCGTAGAAAGTTGTTTTCAAGTCTAGTAGCGGGTGATCCGTTTGGTGTGAGCGGTACTGCTCACTGCAGGCGTAGTAGATACAAACCAAACCTTTGCTGTCTGTCTGAGCCTCTCTTGCAAGAAAGCAAAGCATCAGAATCTGAAGTCTGTGCAGTATCCCGTTATTGAATATTAACTGAGCGCATGGAGCTGTACATATTGTATTTCTTAGTTAGAAAACAAAGCCAAACTAAGTGCTGTCTTAGCATGTCACTAGGTAAAGCACCTTCAAAAATTACTCTCTTTGACCACAGAAATGACTACAAGACTTTCTTGTCCCCCACTTAGTGTTCTACTGAATAGTCACTTCTGGAAAAGTCATGTTGTATTGTTATATCTCTCTGGTTTTGGACTGATGTGGCTTTTTGGGATTTGTTTTGTTTCTCTTCCCTCCCAGTAGAGATGTTCAGCTTCAGAGTTCAGAGTACCGCAACCTCGGTGCTGCTAGAGGAACCCATCATTTATTTCAAATCCATTTGCAGGAACTCATTTGTATGTGGCTTGAAACTTGTGCACACTGACAGTGGATTCCTGTTTTAGTTTGCAGCAGGGTGAAAACACTGGACTACCAATACTGTGAGCCTTGTAACCCCTCTGAACCTCTTGTTTTTTAAAAAGGCTTGCAGAAGGAGAGCAGATCTTATCTGGTGGAGTGTTGAATAAACAGAAGAGCCACGATGACATTGTTATGGAGTTTGGTGACTCTGCATGCTTTACACTCTCCTTACTGGGACATGTCTACTGGTAATGTTGGGTTTTTTTAATTTTGTCTAACAAAGCTTGGGGTCTTTTTATTCAACCAAGCCCATTTTAGTTAAATATACTTTTAGTCACCACAGGGTGTACACTTGTCTCTGGGTTATGTGGCCTGCACAATTTTGGAGTATGATAGATGCAGGTAGAGCATTGTGGAAGCCTCTCACTTGGGAATGCAGGAATGGTTTGTGTTCCACCCAGAGCTTCTGACTGACTGAAAACACACACTCCTCTGCTCCAGATTGCTAGGCATGCAATCTGAGAGTCTCTTTTTCTTATATATCCTTGGGTTTGCTCTGTACTCTCCCCCAAGAGAAACTTTCATGCCTGTTTCTCAGCGTTGCCATTTTGATTTCCTTTTCTGTCTGTTTTACAGATGTGTAGCTGTACCCTTCAAATGAAAGTTTTGAGGCCTGTCAGTCACTCCTCTTCTCCAGATTGCTAGGCATGCAATCTGAGTCTTTTTTCTTAATATCTTTTTGGGTTTGCTCTGTATTCTCCTCCAAGAGAAACTCTCATGCCTGTTTCTCAGCGTTGCCATTTTTATTTCCTTTTCTGTCTGTTTTACAGATGTGTAGCTGTACCCTTCAAATGAAAGTTTTGAGGCCTGTCAGTCAGAATAACTTTACAAATTTAAGCGTTTTGCTTTCGCCTAGATACAAGAACAGTTTCAGTAATTGAATAGGAATAGTGGGGTTCTTGGGTTATTCCCTAATATACCTGTTCCTACAAAAATTATTTCAGAGGTAGCTGTCCTGTAGCCAGATACTTGGGTGTTCAATTTGGGCCCTAATTTATATGCAAGAATATTATCCATAGATATTTAAAATGGCTGGAAGTCTATCAATCAGGTTGCTGTTTCCAAAAAAGAAAAAGCTATTGCAAAGAACAACGTATTTCTAAAACAAAAATTCCCCATCTCTACTTGTGCTTAAGTAGCCTTGAGGCCTGTGTCAAAGTAACTTTCATCTGGGTCTAAATATGTCAAATAACTTCAGAAGGACTCAGTATTGCTCTGTGGCCTGACAAATGGGGAATGTTGCTGTGTCTCTCACCATGTTTTTGTTTTTTGAACTCCTCTCCTGGAAAGCTATCTTGAACAAAAGTGCTAAAGTTTCCCTATAAACTGTTACATTTCTCTTGCAGCAAGACAGACCGGCTTGCCAAAGGATCAGAATGTTACCAAAAGAGCCTTAGTTTAAATCCTTTCCTCTGGTCTCCTTTTGAATCGCTGTGTGAAATAGGTGAGTCTGCAGAACTGTTTTACCAGTGAAGATGTTTTCTACACCTCTGGTTTTGTCCAATTTGCTATCACCATGTGGCAAGGTTTATTTTACTCCTTGCCCAGAACTAGTACGGCACGTGCCAGAAGAATTCATGGGGAGTGGTTTTGGGAGCAATAATGTGTTTAATACTTTGCCAGTGTTTAGAGCCACTTTTATTTCCTTCCACTTCCACTACTTACACACTTGTGGATTTAGCAATACCATATGTTTTTCAACCTACAGTTAGTGAACTCTTAGAAACTCTGCTTCTGAGAATAACTTAAATCTATTTTTTGCTAAACCTGATTGTCCAGGCTTTTATAGTGGAAGAACACCTCTGATTTAGCACAGGGGGTTTTAAAACAATGAATTAATAATGCACACCCCATAAAATACCTTGCCCCTGTCTTTGTTTCAGACTGAGTATTCAGCATGTCGACTCAGGAATAACTCCATTTAAATCTGCTTTCAATCTTACAGGTGAAAAACCAGACCCTGACCAAACGTTTAAATTAACATCTTTACAGAACTTCAGCAGCTGTCTGCCTAACACTTGCGCCACATTGGTATCTAATCACAACATATCCCATAGACAGCCAGAGACTGTCCTCATGGAAACGCCTCAAGACACAATTGTGAGTTTTGCTCAAATCGTTGCGTTTAAAGCAGCCTGTCCAGCTTAACTGAAAAATGCTGACTAGACACAACACTGAGTATCTAACAGCTGCCTTCTGCTTTTCAGGAGTTGAACAGAATCAACCTAGAATCCTCCAACTCAAAATATTCATCCTTGAACACTGATTCGTCTATGTCTTACATTGACTCGGCTGTGATTTCACCAGACGCTGTCCCTCTCGGGTCAGGAACTGCCATATTGTCTAAACAGGCTCAAAATAAACCAAAAACTGGGCGGAGTTTACTGGGAGGACCCGCGGCTTTGAGCCCGCTGACTCCAAGGTAAGTCCTTGAGGTGGACGATTTCTGTCTACAGCTTTGCTGCTGCTGGTGTTTGATTTGAAACTGGAAAGATGTCTGGTGCTGCACAGCGTACTGGAACGTGCATGTTGATAACATATGACAAGTAATGCTGCAGAAGCAAAAGTGGAACAATGTCTAGAACTGCTCTTGGTCCCAGTGTTCACCTCTTCTTCTGCTTTTATAAACAAGCAGTTGGTATTTCTGATTAGAAGAGAGGAACTGTTATTGCGGTGTTCACACTGGAAAAGTCTTTTAAAAGAGTATATTTTTGCTCTGAAATAAGCTCTTAAGAGCATTCCTTGAGGAACAGCTCTCTCCTAAAGAGCATGTAAATAGATGCTCTGTCCTATATAGCGTTTCATTTAAACAGCCTTATGTTACAAGCAATTAATAATTGGATGGTCTGTGCCCAGGAGTTATTACGCAAGTAGGAAAAGTTTTGTGGCTTTTAATTTAAAGAATAAGATGATTTTCTATTGAAGTGTGCTATACAGACAAAGACAGTAAGGTATTAGAGGGTTAACATAAATCAGTGAAGTAGTTCTGAAATAGTTGATGATTTGGGTCTGTGAATGTCTAACATTCAGACGTTGACCCTTCCTCTTCCTTTTGTTCTCAGCTTTGGAATTTTGCCACTAGAAACCCCAAGCCCTGGAGATGGATCATATTTACAAAACTACACAAACTCCTCTTCTGTAATTGATGTGCCATCCACAGGAGCACCTGCCAAGAAGGTATCTTGCGTTCTGGGATGTGCTTGCTGCTCTATGAACTTGACATTGCGTTGTACTGTAAAGAAAAATCCATAATATAGTAAAAAAATGTTGCACGTGAGCTGAATTGTGCAGATAGTGAAGAACCCAGCTTATCTACTGCTTACACAGAAGTTGATTGCAGCCTCTTGTAGTGTTAGAAATGGTTTGGGTTAATTGGGAATTAAATTTGTCCCATTTGTCGCCCACATATACTTACAGGCTAGTGAGGTTGAGGGGAAGAGGAGCAGTTTAATTTGACTACAACTGGTCAGCTCTTCAGACAAACTCTTTAGACTTTTCTGAAGCGTTAGTTTAGGTGTAGAGGAAAGTAAAAATTCTTTTATTCCATCCGAAACTGTCATAGTTGCCACGGTGATAAATGAGAGGTGGAATTGTCAGTGACAGTTGAAGAACCGTTTGTTCCTTTCTAAAAACAAAAAACCTGAGGGTTTTTCCCTGTATTTTTAGTATATCTAGAAGGAGGGATGCTAGTGTTGTAAGTGTCCAACTCTAAAGTAAAAACTTGGTGCGAGTAAGTGTTGAATTCCTCAAAGTAGAACCTGGATTTCCACGTTTGCTCTGGACAAATCAGTCGGTGCTCAGCTTGCTGTGCTGCTCTGTGAGAGACATTTGGGAGCTGTTAAAACTCATTCTTCTCTCATTGACCAAAAACTTAAAAGGATAAAAGCCAGTAGGCTGATAATTTGTCTTTATTACTATTATTTTTTCCCCTTTGGATATTCTCCTGACGCTGGAATTCCTGACTGGGAATTCTGCAGTCTCATTGCATGAGTCATTACGGTATCCTGACTCTGGACACCTCATTACTGCAACACTTTCTATCAGTTCTTCCTCCTCCTTTTTCTGTTGTTCTGTTGGGACTGTGCTGTCCCAGAACAGTCAGCTTTTATGGCTGATCCAGTTCCCATCCTGCAGTTGCCCAGGACAAACCAGTTTTCCATAGCTGAGCTGAAAACAGTGGGTTGCGGTGGATCGTGCGTATGTAGGAAGGTGGATTGTCACGAGTCTGAAAAACTGAAGTAGTTAGCAAAGTGGAGCTCTTCAGTGTAGTACTTACCTGCATTTAATCTCTCATGTGTACTAGAATGGGGAATTAAGTTTATATTTGCTGCTTTTTTTGTTGCATTCCTAGGTATGGTGCAACAGCACTGAGGTGTAAATTCCACTGATCCGTGCATCTGCACCGGTGTTATACCCAAACACAACAATTTAATAATACATTTTAGTAAACAGCTTGGAATTCTGATACATGCTCTGTCCAATGCAAATAATTACTTGGCCGGTTTCACTTCTGCTCTTCAAATTACCGAGTTAGCAAAGGTTTAGTGTCGCTGCGGCTAGAATGTGCCTGACTTAACGGAGGCAGTTTCCTAGGAAACACTTACGTAAATGAATGAAACATGAGGATGAATCCAAAGGCTTCCTATCTGAGTGGGCAAGCACGATTGCTGGCTGCCTAAACTGTCCTCTGATAACAAAGAAATTGAGAAGGGAAGGACAGGACACCAGAAGTCGGATAATGCACAGACTGGCATTGCTCGTGCTGTCATTGATCCCACTTGCTGATTTCTGGCGTCTTAAAGGACATCTCTTCCAGCACCGAGTTGAATGTTGGTGTCCCTGGAGTGGGCAGAAGGATAGGGTTTGAGCTTTCTTTACAAGGCAGGGAGAGCAGGATCTGTTCACAATCCTTTCTAGGAAGCCTACACATCAGACAACGCATTTCTATCTGAACTTGCTCTTCAGGTCTCAGATTCACAGTCAAGTTACCGCAGCTCGAAGTTCCCACACCTCAGCTGTGCAAGGGTAGGCATCAAGTTGCACACTTTAGCTCTCTGAAGGTGTGTGAAGATACAAGACCACATTTTGGTGCTAAGTCATGCTACGTGCTTGTATTCTGTGGCAAATAAAAGGCACAAAAATGGGTGTGCGCACAAAGCGTTGCTCAACTGACGTGCAGTAACTTGCTGCTGCTCCGCGTTAACTTGACTGCAGGTCTCTGTGGATTAACTTTATGCTGCGCAATGCAGGTCCCTTTTTGATGAAGCAGTTTATATCTGCTCCAGAGGCTTGTGCAGTAATGGTTTAACTTGTGTAATACTGATTTACGCTATAAACAGGGGAGCGGCAGGCTCAGGTGTTGCACAGCGAGTGTCTCAATGAGGCATTAGTGGTGGATGCCTTCTGGATGTGACAGTGATACGAGAATTCAAATCTTTTCTTTCTGTGATTGTGTTTTTGTACAACTTTCTGTGGAGAAGGCACTTTAAAGATGACATCTTCTAGTTCCCTTTTATTCTTGCACAAGCATCTTAACATATAGTTTCTTGCCACTAGATGGAGATTTTATATCTTTCAAATGATGTGCATAAAGTTGGTAAACCCAGTATTTTTGGCATTGTAATGGGTAGAATGAGAAACACTCTTGATGATTGCCTCTTTGGATGAGGGGGAACCTCACCCTTTATTGAAATAATCAGTATTTAATCCTTCTTTGTGCAGTGTTTGGGCAGAATGGGTTTGATTTGGTATAGCAATGATTTGGTATAGCAGTGACTGAGACTCCTTAGTGACATAATAACAAACCTGTAGAAACTTCGTGTTATGCAGACTGTCAGCAGGATGAGCCAAGCTGGAACAAAATCTGTCTTCTCGCAGAGCGGAAATAGCCGGGAAGTCACTCCAATTCTTGTTGCACAAACACAGAGCTCTGGTCCACAGACAAGGTAGGGGAAGAAAAAGAAATCATCTTGGTATTACCTTTTGCATCTCCTTTCTTGAAGGAATTTGGTGCTTTATTTGCCCAACTTTTGTGGATGTTCCTGCAGAATTCCTCTTCGGATGAGGAAGAAGTGTGGTTTTTTTTCTGTTAGGTGAAATAACTCCAATGTATAAGTAGGAAACTCGTGCATGGTGGTTGGTCTGTTTGTTTTAAATCTCCTTTGCAGTTAAACTGTTTTATGAATAAATGAAACAGTAGCTGGAAGGAAATTCTGCCCGTGTTCTTGACATGCAACAGATTTGTTTTGGTTTGTTTTCTTTCATCCCTTCAGGTGGGAATGTCTGTGCTATGGTGTTTGAGCATTCTTGTTTAAAACAAAAGTAAAAGCTGTTTTCACTAAAAATAGAGCTAAGAACTTCATTGCTAAACGTGCCGTTTGTTTTCAGTACAACACCTCAGGTATTGAGCCCAACAATTGCTGCTCCACCAAACGCGCTGCCTCGAAGAAGCTCTCGCCTGTTTACCAGTGATAGCTCTACAACAAAGGTAAAAACTTCACGTATTTTGCAAACTTGTGGGTTTCTGCGCTAATAATTTCCCTGTATGCACAGCAGTTCTAGCAGCTTAAGAGCAGGTTCTGTAGGAGCAAAACTTATGAAATATCTGGCTGTACAAAACACATCGCAGTGCCATAATATGTTATTTTTAAGCTCTCAAGAGTGCTCAACTAAAACAGTAGCAAGAGCATCACAAACAAGAAGATACACGCTGGATTAAGTGCAGTGGTGCTGCGAGCTGTCGGCTCGTTTGGTAGAGGTTGTGTTGTTCACATATTTATTGAAGAATTAATTTTGAGCAGGTACTTTTGGGTGTTTTTTTCCCAAATCAAAGTTATTCTCATATCTGTTTTCTGCTTTTCAAACAGTGGAGCAGAACACCAAAGAGCAAATACTCTGGGCTGTGGTGTGCACGTTTGCTTTTTAAAAATGAACTACTAAACACATTCAATAAAGTTACTGAGTATCTGTGTACTGAAGTGTAAAAGTCCAATGGCTGGGCATTGTTGTGTAACTTTACACAATTCACTTTCATGATTACTTACCTGAATTTAAGAGTTTTATATCTGTAACTCTTTTCTTGCAGGAAAATAGCAAAAAATTAAAAATGAAGTTTCCACCTAAGATTCCGAACAGGAAAACAAAAAGTAAAACAAATAAGGGAGGAATAACTCAACCAAACTTAAACGACAGTTTGGAAATTACCAAACTGGACTCTTCCATCATTTCAGAAGGGAAAATTTCTACTGTTGCACCACAGATCCAGGCTTTCACGCTACAGAAGGCAGCAGCAGGTCTGTTTGATCGCTATTGGACTGTAGTAGAGTAAAACTTCTTATATTTATATTTTAAGTTTAAATCCAAAAAGGTTTGCTCCGAGGTTTCTTTTTCTGTTTCAGTTAACCTGCAGCTATTGCCTTTGTATAATTATAAAGACATTGAATTGAGTGTCTTCTAGTTAACGTATAAAGAACATGTGAAGAAGTAGTAAAAAGCAGCTCGTTGTAAGCAGAGACGTCTTACAGGCTCTGGTCCTTATTAATTCTTGAAATATTTTCAGGCAAGATCCTTGGAAACTGATTCAAAGGAATTATGAGTAACCCGGTCATCTCCCCTCAAAATTGGGTTTATGTAGTCTGTGCTCCCTTCATATTTCCCATTTGTTTTAAAACAAGCCTTGATTCAGATTGTCAGACAATCCCAGGCAAACTGCTGAATTCCTCTCTTTTGGCTCGATCATGTTTCCAGGCAGCAAGAAGATGTATCCATGGATACCAGACATGTGGAAACTGTTGGGTCCTAACAAAATGTTTGAATAGCTGCTGTCAATGCGAAGCTGCAGTTGCTCTGAGCTCCAGAGTTTGTTCCTGAGCGTTTGCTGGCTTAGGAAGTCATTGCTGTCTGACTGCTGTTACAAGGGCTCACGTTTAGAATATTATGCCAAAGTTAAGAGTGCATAAGCCTGTGTTTGGGAGCTCCTGAAAGATTTTCATAAGCAAATTCAGGAGCAGCGCCTGCCACAGCGAAGGGCTTATGGGATTAGCAGTTTCAAGTAAATAAGTCTCAGCTGTCTTCTCTTCCACTTTTATTTATTGTATTTTTCTCCTAGAAGGTTTGATGAGCCTTCTCCGTGACATGGGGAAAGGTTATTTAGCCTTGTGTTCGTACAACTGTAAAGAAGCGATAAATATTTTAAGCCATTTACCATCTCACCACTACAACACTGGCTGGGTGCTGTGCCAAATTGGGAGAGCTTACTTTGAGCTTGCAGAATACATGCAGGTAGGAACTGTGTGGGGTTGGTTCTTGCTCTTTTCACTTCTTTTTTGCGTAGCTTTGCACAAAATCCGCAGACTTCCTGCGAAAGCTATAGGAAGTTTACAGCTGAGATAATTGTGTAAACATTAAAGTTATACCTGGAATGGATTTAGAGCTCAAATCTGCATGAGTCGTCATTCAGCTTTCCTGAAGAGGCTGAGTTACACTTAAATTTCTTTTAATGTTAATTTCTCTTGCATCCAACTGCTGGGGTCTCCTCCTTGCCTCTCCATGTCTTCGCCAACAGCTGTGCTGATACAGCTGTGCTGTAGTGTTGCAAATCAGATCACACTCAGTTTTGAGTTCTAAACCCAAGAACTTCTCTCACCCTTTTTAGTTAATGCAGATCACGTCCATGACCTAGTTTCCTTTGCAGCCTTAGAAATGGCAGCACTGGGACAGCTGAGGTGATGTCAAAGTGCTTCAGAAACAGTTACAGGTGATCCCGAGTTTAACTCTCCTTGTCACTGTGGTCCTTACTGATGTGCCCATTTCCTCAGAAGTTTTTAAAGCACTTTTTAAGAGATGGTGTGCAGGAAAAAAAATGCAGTAGGTTTCGGAAGCACTGTATGCACAGTGTGACTAGGGATGGAGCACACTTTGAAAACTGAGGCTACAGACCCTAATGATTTCCTAAAGCAAAGCTTCTTCCCTTGCTGCTGCTCTGAGTGTTGTAACCTCACACTTAAGTTTATGAAAGAGATATCTGTGTCGGAAAGACTTCGTTCATCAGCTGCTGATAAGCATAGCTGTCTCAAAGTAAAGCACAGCACATAAATGTGTTGTCACATCCTTGTGCACCTATTAGAGTGGTTACTAATCAGAACTGGCCCATAAAAGCGTGCTACGCTTTATCTGATTTTGTGGGTAGCTTTTTTGCCCTGCTTGTGCGCTGCGATAGAAGCAGTAATGTAATCTGAGTCAGCAGTAGGAAGGGCTCACTGCATTTCTGCTGGCATGACTATATTGGGGTATAATCACTTCCTTTGCTTGAAGGGGAAGTTACAGGACTTGCAACTCTGTGTAGTACGCTTAAAAAGCAAAGAGGATGCTCAGTCAGGATATATGAGGCTTCTAACCTTGACCTGTGTGCTGTGCTTCGGCGGGTGGAATTTTGTTTTAAGTCTAATTTCTGTTCACAGGCTGAGAGAATATTTTCAGAAGTAAGGAGGATTGAAAACTACAGAGTAGAAGGCATGGAGATCTACTCGACTACACTGTGGCATCTGCAGAAAGATGTTGCTCTTTCAGTTCTTTCAAAGGATTTGACAGACATGGATAAAAACTCACCGGAGGTATAAAATGCTTGAATGAGAAGAGGGAGACTGCATGTGGCAAAATCAATGACTGAGAACAAAGCGCTGAGCTCTAATCTACTTCAGCTGTATTCTCTTGTGAGAGCTGCATGGCAAAACCAGAGAGGGAGGTGGCAGAGTTGTCTGTTGAACTGATGATGCCTGAAATGGCATCTTCGAATTAGAATATCAGCTTACATGGAACGGGTTGAAACCTTTTATCTGTTAATGGTTATTTACATTTGCATTGGCACCGCTCATCCAGGAAGGTCATGGGTTATTCAGTCACTCCTACTGCTGTCAGTATGCAGAGATAAGGAATAGCTTTTTCCTGTACCACCTCTTAATTGCTGTAGTTAATTCACTGGCACTTGAAACACATTTGCTCTAGAATTTATTTTCAGCCACAGTGTTGCACATTTTTATGCTGAAGTCCATTAAACTGCAGCGTGTGGCGATATAAAGTCACGATGCGCAAAAAGCCAAGTATCTTTTAATGAGTGCCACAGTAAAAGTAATAGATGTGTGCGTTTATAAACGTGCTCTCAACAGAGCTGAGAAAACTGTACATTACAGGGAGGAGCCTTTGCCGTTGGAGGAGAGAGTCCTGGCTATGTTGTCTTGTTAGCTTGTCTAATAGTGGAAAAATCAAAGCCAGTGAAGCCACTGGTAGGTGTAGTAAGATAGTGTGGAGAGAAGAAAGTGCAGGTTCTATTACAGGGAGTGGAGAACAGTTATGCCATTTGGCAGCGATGCTAAAAATTTGGGAAAGCAAGGGGCCCTGGGCTGTGGTGCTTCACAACCTCAGTGCTGATTGCTGAGCAGGAGGG